TTACAGGCAGTCATGGTCCTCCCGTTGTTCATCGATTTGCTTGAGTGGGCCCAGTAATGTCTCCATCGTGAGACTTGTTACTGTTTGGCACATTGAATACGTCACGGGTAGCTTGCCAGGCTTTGCCATGCAGGCGAGATACTCTTGGTAGCTTGCTGGGCTCTCTCGAGGGGTGGAGGAATCGAACTCAGATCGGCCATATTGGCTGCATGCAAGGCACAAGCCCTACCTGCTGTGCTATTGCTCCAGCCCATTTCCCCCATTTTTTGATGGAGTTATTTGTTTGGGTTTTTTCTTTCTTTCTTATAGAGTTCTACCAATAGTGCAACATTTTAAAGGCTATTTTCTATCTTCTCTGCTGTGGGAATAATTGTGACCTAATGCTTTTGAATTTCTTTTATTATTATTTTCTCCTTTTAAAATATTTTAAATAGATATGTTTGATGGGGCTTCCTCATTGCCTAAATAGTTGGAATGCTTTTTCTGGAAAAAAAAATATGTGTAACCAGTCATCTGTTCTAGGGCACTCAGGGTTTTTCCAGATTCTAGCTATTGTAAACAGTGCTGCAATGAACGAACAAGTGCAGATGCCACTTTGACTATACTTTTTTGCCTTTCTGGGATATATTTCCAGGAGTGGTAATGCTGGATCAAATGGGAGCTCGATTTCTAATTTTTTGAGAATCATCCATACTGTTTTCCAAAAGAGCTGAACCATTCGACATTCCTACCAGCAATGAAGGAGGGTCCCTTTCTCACCACATCCGCCTTAACACCGGTTGCTTTTGTTCTTTTGGATGTGGGCCAGTCTCTGTGGGGTGAAATAATATCTCATTGTTGTTTTGATCTGCATCTCCCTGATGATTAATGATGTAGAGCATTTTCTCATGTGCCTTTGGTACATCTACACAATGGAGTACTATGTAGCTGTTAGAAAAGATGAAGTCATGAGGTTTACGTACAAGTGGTAATACAAGGAAAGTATCATGCTAAGAGAAATGAGTCAGAAAGAAAGGGACAGACATAGAAAGATTGCATTCATCTGGAGAACATAAAGTAACAAAATAGGAGACTAACACCCAAGAATAGCCGAGATAAGTACCAGGAGGTTCACTCCATGGTTTGGAGGCCAGCCGCACACACTAGGGGAAAAGGCAGCGCAGATACAGAAGGGAGCACCAAATAAAGGGTGTTGGGAGGATCCTCCCAGGATGGGAGATGCATGCTGAAAGTAGGCTATAGACCGAACATGATTGCCACTCAATGCCTCTTTTGCAAGCCACAGCACCCAAAAGGAGAGAGAGAACAAAAGGGAATGCCCTGCCACAGAGGCAGGGTGGGATGGAGGGATGGGGGTGGGAGGGATACTGGGATCAGTGGTGGTGGAAAATGGACACTGGTGGAGGAATGGGTACTCGATCATTGTATAACTGAAACCCAAGCACAAAAAATTGTCACTCTACAACTGTACCTCTTGGTGTTTCACTAATAATTTTCTTTTTTAAAAAAAATGTGTAGCCAAGAATAATTCTACTCTCAAAATAGCAAATGTAAAAATTGCTTTCAAAAATGGAATCTACAATGATTTTTTATTTCGGTATAATTCAATTGATGAGAATGAATGTCTTTCCCTGCTTCTATCCCTCCTTGTCACTTTAAAAAACTATTATCTTATCAATAAGAGTATTTCAATTCCACAAGAATTCAGAGATAAGCCTTAAAAGTTCCCATACTTTTGGAAGCAATGTAACACATTGGATCTATGAAGGACATGATAATTAAACCTAGGATTGCCTCTCAGCTCTGTAATTCACTAGCAGTTTGGCTGTGATCAAAATTATTTGGTTTTGTCAACAAATAATCTCTCCTCCATGGAGTTAAAAATTAATTTATAAGTTCTTCCTCAAGTTCCCTAGCACATAATATTCATTACTTTCAAAATATATAGCAGAATTAATTCATTAAAAGTAAAAACTAAGAAAATATAAAGTGTGGTTCATATACTTGATGGAAAGCTATATATTCCATTTTAGTAAGCAGATATTATGTAGATATTCTGAATGCTGAAAAACAGTTGAAAATAAAATTTCTGTCTAAAATATAATGGCATTTTTCAAGTTTATATGGAAACACCACAGCAAATAATAGCTTGAAATTATTATTCCCTAGTTATGTGCAGTGTCTCCCATCCAAGTACTAACCAGGCCCGACCCTGCTTAGCTTCCTAGATTAGCCGAGATCAGGCGCGTTCAGGGTTGTATGGGCGATGGCACAGTGGTAGAGCATTTGCCTTGCACGTGGCCGGCCCTGCCGACCAGGGTTCGATTCCTCTGCCCCTCTCGGAGAGCCCGGAAGCCTCTGAGAGTATTTCGCCCGCACGGCAAAGCCTGGCAAGCTACCTGTGACATATTATTATGCCAAACGCAATAACAAGAAGTCTCACAATGGAGACGTTACTGAGCCCGCTCAAGCAAATCGATGAACAGTAGTGCTACTGTGCTATGTGCAATGTCATCAATTTACTTTCTTCTAATGTGTAATTAAAATCACAGACGAACTACACTAGCTAACACTTTTTCAGTTCAACTTGAGTAAGAACATAAGGAAAAGAATTTAATGAAATAATTAAAACATAAACCAATAATCTGAAATCAGTAGCCTTCTGTTACTTCACACCCTAGTGGAAGTAACTTTGAACGAAGAACAAGAAAATCACATCCAGATTTGTCTGTTTGCCTCAGAACTTTGTATAAAAGTCTATCTGTGCTCAGTTTACTCCTATTTAAAGATTCTAACCCTTTTCCTATTTCATGAAATCCTGGGGAGCTATTGTTGAATAATGTGTAAGACAGTTGAAGCCCATTTAGTGAACTACATAATGTTTTAAGGCAGGTTATTGATTTAGACAGTAAAGAATAGCCTACAGGCAAATCCTGCAAGGTGCTCAGCAGACACAAGCCTACCTTCCTGTTGGCAGAATCCGTTCTTGGCAGGTGTAAACCGTTCCTTACAGGAAGAAATAGGTTCTTCATTGTGTTTCAGGAGTCAGTAGGCTTTTGCAAAATTAAGTAATTGACATTTTTCTCATTTTTGAGATCAAATTTTCATAAATCATTCAACTTGGATAAACTGAGAATGTAGTTAATCTAGTAATTGTTTAAATATAGAAGAGACATTGCAAAACATAGTATTTAAGTATTTCCTCCTAACCTCTTACCTTTGCACGATCTGAGTTCTAAATGGAAGGATGCCCTAATGTCTAAAAGTGAAGCAAAAACAAGAAGAGCCTATGGTAAAAAATAGAAATAAAACACAGATTCATCGCAGTAATTTGGGATTCCACTGATTCAAAACTTGTAAAGATAATAAGACTGCAGAGGAAGGCTTATTTTAACATCATGAGAATTGTTATTAATTAACAGTGTTTAGTGAGAAGGGGAAATAATTAACTGATTTGAAAGTAGTACTTTCTAATTTTTACAGTATATTTAGAAAAATACTGTCAATTTCTTGTTGGTATTGACTCAACTTGTTGCAGTTAATTCCAAGTTATTATCATATTTTAACAATACACTTAAGAATACCACACTGACCTTTTTGCTGTCCTTCACAATTCAAGTTAGTGAAACTTTGCCTTAAAGGATTTGTGTAATACTATGAATCATGATATTCAAAATATATAAACAGTACTAGTATTTATTACTAAGAAAAATCTGATACAGATTCATCTCTGAATACAGTTGATTAGTGAATCAATACTAGTATAAAGCTGTTTTAGTATAATTTATATGTAATAAATTTATAACTTAAAAAAGTTACCTCTTTACACTGAACATCATTACATTTCTAAAAGCACTGAATTATTTTGTTTTATATACCCATTTTATGTTAACAGAACTATTAACGTATGCAAAATCTTCCAGTTAACTAGAGCTAATCTTCAACGTAGGATTGCAATGGATTATTCTATCTCAACCAGTGTATATGACCCTAAGAGTACCCTTATTCCTTTAGCATCTTGCTCTGTGCAGTGTTTATTTTTGAAGAACCCTCATGCATGGATCCATATAAATGAGGCAAACTGGAGCAGACTAGACTGTCGCTCACCAGACTTTGAGGAAGGAAGATTGTATATTTGAAAACTGCTGGACATAATGTGTACCTATAAGAAAGATTTCTTTCTGTATAGCATCAAGCAAAATTTGGATTGTGATTGTATGCTTTCACTAAGTAAAATAAAGGTAAAAAATCATCAGTGGTCTGATTACCTCGTTTTTGATCAAGCAAAAGCTCAGTGATGAACATCATTGTGATATTCCTCCCAGAGTATTCTAAGAACACTGAGAAATGGATTTCTAAAATCATGTTGGTTTAACCAATATATATATAATAAAATTTCTCACTTGCTAATACTTAGAAATAGTAACTTTTAAATGTAGTACAGAAAGTCTGCTTTTATTAGTGTCAAATAATTTTATGCTTAAATTATTTTAATACCACTGAAATAATAACTTTTTCTACCTTATCATATCTAATTTCTTTATTTTCATCAGCTGACTTGATTGGGGCAGCAAGTTGGAGCGGAGGGAGATTAAACCTACAGGTTGTAGAGTATGCCAGGATGTCACTGTTTTAGTTGAGTAACGAGTATACAATTGATTGTGTAGTAAATTGCATAGTAAATGATTGCAGTAAATGATTCATGCACAACCTTAATTCAAGTAGGTACATATTAAAATAATTATTATTGATTGCATTTATCATCTATTGATGACATAATCTGAATATCTGGGTTAAAGTTTGTGTTGTTGCTGTTTTTTAACCTCAAATACTTGGCACTCTAACACTGTCTGTTGCTTTCAGTAATGCTTTGTTTCTTAACATGACAACCAGGGCTGCCTGGTCACAGGCAAATACTCTACTTTTTCAGCCAGACATTCCTGACAGTGCTTACACTTTGCTATTCTTTTTTTCCTCCCACCTCCCTTCCCCCAACTTAGGCTGGAAAGGCTGGTGGACGTCCTGAGGAAGAAGGTTGGAGCCGGGACCATGAGGACAGTGATCTGACTGAAAAAAACGGCAGTCTGGGGAAGCGATCACATCTGGTGACCAGGCTGCTTCATTCAACACTGTGTAAACACTAAAGCCTTAACTTAGCAAACAGTTGTTAGAAGTGGGACACTTCAACCACATTCCAAACTGAGATAAAATCAAATCACAAATGTTTAACTACTTTGCTGCTGACTTGAGTTATTTATCCAAATGTATTAACCACAGTCTTACCAATTGGGTAGCTAGAAAGTTGCAACTTTTGGTAACTATTTTATCTCAATGTATTTAATATAAATCTTTTTCCTGAAAGAGTATTACAAAATGACAGGAAAGTTGTTCAGGATCATATCTCACATATGGCCCTTTCTGAATCAAAATGCAGCAAAGTAAATACTATCTAAACCGTAAGCCACTATTTTAGGTCAAAACTTCAAATACATGCATTTTTTCAATATTGTCTGTTAATTAATAAGAGAGATCAGACATAATAGTTTTCCTCCAATGCATACATATAATCCTTGTTAGTATTAACAAATATTAAGTATAGCTGCTAATAATTAAATGTACAATTTGCTTTAACAAGATTTTGGTTCATTAAAATAACGTTAATCAGTGCATAATTTTTGTTTATTACAAATCAGATAATTCAAACTTTTCAATAAAAAGAGGATATTGATAATATATACTCCTAAATTTATATTGTCAGTATTTTTTATTTGGGGATTTGAATAAGCATCTAAACTCCTATTTAAGCTGTTGAAATTGCCAAATTTGTCTTATAGGCTGAAGCACTTTTGACTTGGAAATTAACTTATGTCTCTCCTACTAGACAAGAACTCATGCAACATGTTAAGCATTTATTTTGATTCTCTATATTTAAATTTGAGGTTTTGTTGTGAAAAAAAGTAATCCAGTGCATAATATATATAATAATATTTAAGGACTTATGAAAATTAAACCTGTAATACATTTTTCCTTGAGAGATTATATTTTAAAGTTATAGTGGTATAACTACTACTATATCCAAGTATACACAATTATGAGAAAAACTAATGACTTATCAGTTTGGCCTAGGAAGTGATCATTATCTTTTTAGATTGAATAGGTGAAAGGCCAGTAGAAATTATTGTTCCTGGAACAGGGTGAAATAGACAAGGAACAATCAAGTTAATAAAAATGTTGTGGGCAAGTGGAAAGTTTCTAAGTACATATGATTGTTTTAGTCCATCTTTAATATTTAAATTACCTGCCGTTGCCTATTTTCAGGACTATCGTATAATAATTTGTTGTGCCATTATTTCTTACTACATTAGAAATTCCGTTGTATTTATTCTGCAGGAAAATGTTAGGGCTTTATCATATGGTGACAGAATAATTGGAATGCTTAACAAAGCATTTTTGCCTTTTTTAATACATTAAATTACCAGAAATTGGAATCAGCCCACTGAATTCAAATCTAGAACATACTTGTACTGCCTGCTTTTAATCATTTTTATGAAATCTTGAGGAAAAAGATGCTTGAAATCAGACCCAGGCTCCCATGTCCTCTACCAATAAGCTACATCTCTGGCTACAATGATTTTTTTTAACTATCAGTAATAGAAAATATAATAGTAATAAGGAATTTACAAAATAATTGGATTTTCTCAGGAAAAAGGAAAATTGCAGCCTCTCTTAGGCCAGTGACTATGAAAACATAGAAATCTGAATTAATTCGATCATTTATGGAAGCCATTCTGGGCTCTAATTAAGGCCCTTGACCGGTCTGTAGATGAAAGAACAGCACTTTTCAAATCATGTGGGTAAGTGGAGCAATACAGTTCCTATTACTCTAAAGGACAGACAAAACTTTCTCGAGCTATTTTGTTTGGAGTTTTATAAAACACAAAATATAACACAGAAGCACTTGCAGTTTCCAAACATCTCTTCCTATGCCTAAAAAATTAGAGGAACCAGTTGCTTGTAATTCATATATACAACGTTCATTGAATTTAATATTACAAATTGAAATTTATAGAACAATTCTAACATCTATTATTCAGTATAGGTCATCTTCCCCAAATTATTACATCCTCTTGAAATGAGACAGACATCTTAAAAAGTTACAAATGCTATATACTAGAATTAAATATATCAGCTATTACTATTTTATTTCTTACACTTAAGTGTGTCTACCAACAATGTTTCAAATCTTTTTCTTTGGTGTTGAATAGCTTTCCTCAGTAAAGATCAGTTCCTTATACATATAATCATTAATAATGTACCTTGAGAGGTATTCCAATTTTCAGAGATGTTGCCTCGAGTTTGCTTTAATCTCAAGTTTGAGTTTTACAGTAACATAATATACTTTTCCTAATAAACTGGATAGTTCAAAGGAGAGAAAACATAAAACAAATTTGCACAGCCCTTGATTGTTTTCAGTCTTTTCTCTCCTGTATTTTTAATCTACTCTTATCAACAACCTTATAATAATAATATACTCAAAATTTTATGACATAATTTGCTGTTGATAACTGTTATTTGCAACTCAGCTCTTTATAAATATATTTATGTATACAAATATATATCTACACAGACAAATACATTTGCCTTTTTAAAAATTGATTTATAAGTCAACTGTTAGGCTCTAGTGATTTCAGTATTTTGTTCATGTTATATTAGAAATGCACATGGTTTTCTGAGGCTTTTAAACAAATACATGGAATGGTTGAAAGATTTATGTTGCTTGTGCTTAGCTAAATATGTCATCTCTAGAAAAGATGTGGTTTATTTTGGCACTGTTTTAAAAACTCAAATATTTTAAACATTTGTTAAGTTAGAGCTTGCACATTTGAACTAGAGGCATACGTTCCAGAATAGTATCTCAAGTTACCAAACCTTTTGTAATCCTTTTACTAGAATAACTATTTTTGAAAAAGCTTTATTTTCTTTTTATATTATGTACCTTAAGTTGAACTTATAAAAGTTGACTTTTTTTTAATAAAGGACTTTTAGGTAGAATAGGACTGCATTAAATACATACCTCTGAGAATCACTAATATACTGTATATATTGATATTTCCTTATAGAATCAATACATTTTACATTTTACTATTTTCTAAATATAGAATTATGGGGTGTGAGAATATTTTTGTAAACAACCAGTTTCTTGATTATCTCAGTATTAACATAGGTACATTTTAAATTTTTTTTTTTTTTTTTTTTTTTTTGCTTTTTGGGTCACACCCGGTGATGCTCAGGGGTTACTCCTGGCTCATGCACTCAGGAATTGCTCCTGGCGGTGCTCAGGGGACTATATGGGATGCTGGGAATCGAACCTGTGTTGGCCATGTTGGCTGCGTGCAAGGCAAACACCCTACCTGCTGTGCTATTGCTCCAACCCCAACATAGGTACATTTTAAAGCACAGACTTACTTCCCAAAATATGGTATATTTTAAAGCACAGACTTACTTCCCAAAATATGTATTTATCTTTTTTCAGGGGGAGGGGAGGCGGAGTAGGAGAGGGGTATTTGGCCATACTTTGGCGGTACTCAGGGCTGGCTCCTGGTTCTGTGCTCAGGAATCATGAAATTGAACCAGCTGGACCATGTGCAAGACACGTGCCCTAGTGGCTATATTCTGCCCCAGTCCCCAAATATATGTTTACTATTTTACTCACATAAAATCTCTGAATTCATATTCTACACATTCCAATTCAGTTCTTACACATTGATCTTAAATTTATAATTATATGTTCTTGGGACAAAATACCTGCCTTAGAGAGACCCTATTCAATTCTGTGGTACCGAATAGTCCCCTCAGCACCACTGAATGTGACCTAAAAACCACATAAAATGGGCACTGGTGGAGAGATGGGTACTGGATCATTGTATAACTGAAACCCAAGCACAAAAATTTGTAAGTCTACAACTGTACCTCATGGTGTTTCACTAATAAAAATTTAAAAAAAAAACACACACACATAAGCCTTTCAAAAGAGGTCTGTTATATTCGAAACTATGTGAATATTAAATAAAATAGTGATGAAATATTAAATAATAAACTGATGTTTATTATTAATATGTTTAGAACCTAAGATCACTTAATCACTTAACTTCCCATTAGTCGTCGATTTGCTCAAGCGGGCGCCAGTAACGTCTCCATTTGTCCCTGTCGCGTGCTAGTGTAGCCCAATGGCATCTGTTCGCTCTGGGAACATGAAGAGCCTCAAACCGATCATTCATGATCTTGATGAAGAAGTCTGACCATCTGGTAGGTGGGCGGCCACGCGGTCTTTTGACATCCAGTGGAATCCAGTCGCTAACAGCTCTAGTCCAGCAGTCATCTTTAAATCTCATTACGTGACCAGCCCATCTGATTTTCGACACCTTGGCAAATGAGACAGTGTTCCTGATTCTTGATCGTTGACGGATGTCAGAACTCCGGATTCTTTCTCTCATTTGAGTGAAACGTGATATTCCAAGCATAGCTCTTTCAATTCTTCTTTGGGAGACCTGAATGGCGTTCTCATCCTGTTTGCGTAGGGCCCAGGTCTCTGAGGCATATGTTAATGCAGGAAGAACAGTGGAATCAAAGAGATGTGCCCGGAGCCGGAGGTTCTTCATCCTCTTAGCTATTTTTTCGATGTTCTTGAAGGCGTTCCAAGCCGCTCTCTTCCTCCTGCGCAGCTCGGGTGCCAGGTCATTTGTCATGTTGACTTCTCGACCTAGGTACACTTAGCTGTTGCATTCGGAGATGGTCGTTCCCTTGAGAGCAAATGGGGTGTCAGGAACGAGGCTGTTTCTCATGAACATTGTCTTAGTAAGATTCAGCTGTAGTCCTACCTTTCCACACTCACGGTCAAAGTCGGCCAGCATTTGTGCCGCTTGGCTGATGTTTGGTGTTATTAAAACAATGTCATCAGCAAAGCGGAGGTGGTGTAGTTGCCGACCATCTATCTTCACTCCCAGTCCTTCCCATTCCAGTCGTCGCATGATGTTCTCGAGGGTGGCACTGAAGAGTTTCGGTGAAATGGTATCACCCTGCCGAACCCCTCTCTTGACATCAATGATTACTTCTTTGTAGAATGGTGAGATCCTGGTAGTGAATCTGCAATACAGCTCACAGAGGATCTTGATGTATTGGGCTTGAATGCCCTGATTGGCTATGGCTTCAATGACCGCTTCCGTCTCAACAGAATCAAAGGCCTTCTTTAAATCAATGAACGTTAAACAGAGCGTCATCTTGAACTCCCGAGAAACCTCAATGAGCTTGGTTATCGTGTGGATATGGTCGATGGTGCTGAATCCTTTGCAGAACCCGGCTTGCTCACATTGTTGTCCTTCATCTAGTGTTCTGCCAATCCTATTTAGGATGACTCGAGTGAACAACTTGTAGATGACAGACAATAGGCAGATCGGGCGATAGTTGCCAATGTCATGGATGTCTCCCTTTTTGAACAGTAGTACAGTCCTGCTGGTTTTCCATTGGGACGGAACCTTGCATTCAGACAGGTAGCGAGTGAAGAGCCGAGCCAGTGTATTGATGAGTACTGACGGCAGGTTCTTCAGGTGTTCAGGTCTGACCTTGTCTGGGCCGGGAGCTGTTCATTTCTTTACCGACGAAATGGCGTGTCGGATTTCGGAAGAGAGAACATTGGGAACGACATATCCATCCTGTGGAATTTGGTATGTCAGCA